CAAGTTAGTACAACTATCTCTAGTATTACTACTCCCAGTGCAACAACTACTACTAATAAAACTGCCACTACTAATTAATCTTGTAAAAATGTTGTTAAATTCTCCAAATAAAATAACCAGGGATGGCCAACTTATCGACATAAAGGAAGACGATCCCGACCCGACGTTCGCCCTGCTGAACTCGCATCGGTTATTTTTCCTCAAAACATCCGACTCCCGTCGCATAACCGGTTCATACCGGTGCAACGCCACCAACCCCGATTCGAAAATTAGTGAAATTAGTGAAGAGGCTAGAGTGGGATTAGCAAGTTAGTATATTGGTTGAAAGTTTTTGTATGTCGGTATGTATGTATGTGTGTGTGTCTGTATAATTGTATGTTTGTTTGTATGTGTGTATGTATGTCTGTATGTGTGTCTTTATAATTGTATGTATGTATCTATGTGTGTATGTGTGTCTTTATAATTGTATATTTGTTTGTATGTGTGTATGTATGTTTGTATATTTGTATGTATGTATGTTTGTTTGTATGTGTGTTTGTTTGTATGTCTGTATACCTACATGGATGTAAAATTACATAAGTGAAAACAGCATATCAATGAAACATTTGCAGACATGAAGGCATACAAAGACCCTTTATTAATTATGCATCAGCAATTAACTATTGCACATTAAAGCAAAAACAAAAATATGATTAATAATAACAACAACAACAATACAGCAACAACAATACAAGCCAAATTATAAAAACCATACAGTAAAAATAATTACACCGTAACAAAAACAACAATAACAATCTCAAAACAACATGAATAACGGTGACGTCAAATCAAAAACATCAACAACAACAACAATAACAACAACAACAACAACATCATCATCATCATCATCAACAAAAGCAACGTCAGTAGCAGCAGCAGCAACTACAACAACTACAACAACAGCAGAAAGAGGATGTAGTAAATATTGTAAATGGAATATGAAAGTGAATGCTCCATTGAACAAGGACGATACGATGTATGCTTTGTCGAAGGGGTAAGAAATATACGGAATAATACAGGGTGAAAAATATTTGAAAATGAAATCGAAAAGATAAAAGAAAAGAAAGAGTGAGAGAAAAAGAGAAAGAAAGAGAATAAAAAAGAAAAATGGAGAGATAGAGAAAAAGAGAGAGAAGGAGAGAAAGAGAAAGAAGAAGAAGAAATTGAAATAAGAAAAAAACGAATTAACAGGCAGAGGCGGTATAAAAACTAGCCATAAATTTTCATAATTGCGAGAAAAATATAAAAATTTTAAAGAAAACCTAATAGGAGGAATAAAAAAATGTTAAAAAGTGGATGAAAAGAAGACAGAAAGATGCTTTTAAGCAGCGCCATTCCTCACTGTTGTTTATTAGAGGTTTTCAGGCTACGACAACATACATACAAACATACACACATACATACACACACACATACGTACAACTATACATACATACACACATACATACGTACAACTATACATACATACACACATACACACATACATACATACATACGCACATTCATATATACATGCGTAATTTGGACGGTTGGATGAATGAATGGTTTTTTATTTTTAATTCCTGCTAAAAATTATTAGCAAGAATTAAAAATGGTCTTTTATAATATTAATAATTAATAATGTTAACATTAACAATAATAAACAAATAAATGAATAAATTATTTTCCCACCCAACCCGCCAACCAGATCTCCAGGGGGATTTTAGGGAGCATCCACTGGGCAGGGATGCCGTCCTCGGTCAGGAGGTCACATTCACGTGTAAGGCCCCTAGAGGCGACCCTGAGCCGAAAATTAAGTGGGTCAAAGACAATAAGGATGTTACGACGTTCGGTAATCGAATATTTGCCAACGAAATCGGATATTTACGGATAGGGCACGTTAAACCGGAAGACGCCGGGATATATTCCTGTGTGGCATTCAACATGGCCGGTGAAAAGAAGAGCAAGTCGGCCAAACTGTCGCTATTCAGTGAGTTTCAAACATTTTTTTCCCAAATTACGAAATCAAGTTTATAGTTTATTTTTTGTTTTTGGCGAATAAAAAAAATTTTAATTTCAAGAAAAACCAGCAATAATTCGCGGGCCGCAAAACCAAGTGGTGAACGAAAACAGTGACGTCATCATGACTTGTCAATCATCCGGCGATAGCCAATCGGAAGTGACTTGGAGGAAGGTTAATAACAACAGGGCTCTGCTTTCTTACAGGTTAGGAGGTTTTTGTCAGTGGAGTTTATCGCTGACGATTAATTTTCAAAGTAATGTTTGGTAAATCCTTATAGTGACGTCATCATCTGCCACATGACGTCATAACTGTGATTGGCAGGTTTCAAAAGTTGCCGAACAACAGTTTGAGAATGTTGAAAGTTCAGGCTGAAGACGAAGGTACGTACGTGTGTAAGGAAGAAAATAAGATGGGCCATGCGGAATTGGAGGCTAAGTTAACCGTTCTATGTTAGTTTTTCCATTTAGTTGTTCTTTGTTGTTGTTGTTCTTTGTTGTTAGCTCTGTGATAATTGTTTCATGCATGCTTCATGTTCTATCTACCTTATTCGAAACTACCTTCTAAACAACAGATAACCCAAAGTTCAAAACGTTACCAAAGAACAAAATAGTAACGACCAATAGGAACGTCCATATGAGATGTGACGTCATTGGGAATCCAGCTCCCGTCGTCTATTGGATAAGACTGTCTGATAATGTTAGGCATAGTAAATAATTGTTATAGCTATCGTAATAATATAGCAATAATTATAACGATAATAATATAATAATATATAATTTAATAATATATCCAGTTTATTGAAATTTTCGACAGATGGCCATCTACCCGAACAAAAGGATGGAGGGAATGTACGTGGATGAAGATGGCGTTTTGAATATCTTCTCCACTAAGCTGAAAGACAGCGGTGAATACCAATGCATCGGTAATGATGATGATGATGACAATGGTATCTTTGATGATGATGACGATGACGATGATGGTGATGACGATGATGACGATAATGATGGTGATGATGACGATGATGATGATGATGACGATGTTGATGATAACGATGATGATGATGATGTCTTTTTTCAATCTCAAAACCAGGTTTGAGCCCATTGGGGAACATCACGCATACGGTCAATTTGAAGATTCAAGGTGAGCAGGCATAATCTTTCCTCAATAAAACTTAATGATGTTGGTGGTTACGTCAAAGCTGATGACGATAATGGCGTTGATTATTATTATTATTATTATTATTATTATGATGGTGATTATTATTATTATTGTTGTTATTATTATAATTACCTCTTAGAGTTTCTACCCTCACCCCCTCCGATAACTGGTGATTATTATTATTATCATTGTTGTTGTTATTATTATAATTACCCCTTAGAGTTTCTACCCTCACCCCCACCGATAATTTTGATTGGGCCGCAGAATCAGACTCTGCCCCACGATAGCACAGCGACTTTAACCTGTGAGGCCAGCTCCCTCAAGGATAATGGGCTTCCAGATTCCCCCGGCATATCTTGGCTTAAGAATAATCAGGTGATGATGAAAATGATGATGAAGATGATGATGAAGATAATGAAGAAGATGATGAGGAAAATGATGATGGTTGTGATGATAAAAAATGATGACGATTGAAATATTTTGTTGAAACCAAAAATAGGTTCTCTCCTTGAATGATAAGAGGATTACTATTAAGGAGGGCGGTTCACTGATGATCAGCTGTAAGTTTTTTATTTTGTATCTATCATCTTGTGATATCATCTTGTGATATCATTATTGGTATCATCTTGTGATGTCATCTTTGGTATCATTATTGATATCATCAGATATTATATATCATTATTAATATCATCAAAATTCTCGTCATCATCATCTTTAATGAGTAAATTAATTTGTCATATTTTGCGAACAGCGTTTAACCAGATGAATTTTTAGAGTTAAATTTTTTTATCCTGTCGTAATTGTTGAATTCCTCCTTCTCTCTTTTACTTTAACTTTCACTCTCCATCTTTTTCTCACTTTATCTTTTCTTACGTTCTTTCTTTCCAATCGCCACTAGCAAAATCAGCATCATCAACGTCTTCACCACCATCATCAACATCACCACCATCATCATCACCATCATCACCATCGTCACCAACACCATCATCATCCTCATCGTCTTCATCACCACAACAGCCCTAACGTACGATGACAGTGGTGTCTACACGTGCAAAGCGGTCGGCGAGTTCGGCGAATCAACATGGTCAGCCAGTCTGCAAGTTGAATCGACCACCAATACCAACGTCATATTCAATCAGATGCCTGAGAGATCTAATTTGCCAGGTTCGTTGTTGTGGTGTGGCTGTTGTGGTAGCTGTTGTTGCTGCTGTTTTTGTGGTTGTGGTTGTTCAGATGATGATGATGAGAAAAATTATTGAAAGGGGGGAGAGTATTCACCAAATACGTAATCATCATCGTCGTCATCATCGTCATCATCATCGTCATCATCATCAAGGTCATCATCATCAAGGTCATCATCATCAAGGTCATCATCATCAAGGTCATCATCATCGTCATCATCATCAAGGTCATCATCAAGGTCATCATCAACGTCATCCTCACCATCCAGGCACGCCGTCAAACGTGACGTCATCAGAGGTGACGAGTACTACGATCCGACTGGCCTGGATGTCAGTGTCGAGTTTCGGCTCGTCGCCCAGTGTAGTTTATGTTGTGGAGTACTTTTGCGTCGAAGAAGGAGAGGTATGTGTGTGTGTGTGTTTGTTTATGTGTGTGTACGTGTGTGTGTGTGTACGTGTGTGTGTGTGTGTGTGTACGTGTGTGTACATTGTCGTCATCATCATAGTCGTCATCATCGTCATCATCATCTACCATCATCATCACCATCATCATAACTCAAGGGCTGGCTGACGACGGGTAACGAGATGAAAGGAACGAGCGAGTTGATAAAAAACTTGAAGCCCGCATCCACTTATTATTTTGTCGTCAGGGCGAAGAGCAATCTGGGACTCAGTCAGGCAAGCCCTGTCTCTGCCCCCGTCAGAACTGAAGGTGATGATGATGGTGATTTTGTTGGTGGTGATGATGGTGTTGATGGTGGAGCTGATGTTGTTTTTAGTTTTCTTGCGATGATGGCTGTGATGACAAGCTAGTTGATTAATTTTAATTAAATTTAATTAGCTAATATTCAGTAACTACATAAAAACACACACATACACAGAAATACACAGACAAACACACACACACGCATAGAAATACACACAGACAAACACACACACACACGCAGGTAACGAGACTACGTATGCGAATCACATCCGCCAACGTCAGCAGCAGCAGCAACAACAACATCTGACGGAAGAAGCGATCTTGGAGAAGTTTTCCGGATCCAGTATGCTCCATCTGCACCCTGCAAAAGTCCTCAGTTCCACAATGGTCAAGTTATCCTGGGATGTCAAACGGAATTTTAAGCTCATTGAAGGATTCCGAATAGTATACAAAGAGGTCTGGAAATGTTCTTATGAATGAATGTATATAATTTATAATAATTATCATTATAATTGATAATAATAAGGACAATAACTATAATTGTTTGGGGCTGATAGATGGCAGAAGATGAGGACGATGATGATGTGAGTGGCAGTGATAAGGATGATGAAGGCCTTGTGGAGGAGATTGTAGAGTCGTCGTGTTAGTAAAGTTTTTAAGACTTCTGGTCCATCTGATCATTTTGAAAATTTTTCCAAGCCTTCACTCATTCATCCGTGCATTCATTCATTCATTCATCCGTGCATTCATTCATTCATTCATTCATTCATTCATTCATTCATTCATTCATTCATTCATTCATTCATTCATTCATTCATTCATTCATTCATTCATTCATTCATTCATTCATTCATTCATTCATTCATTCATTCATTCATTCATTCATTCATTCATTCATTCATTCATTCATTCATTCATTCATTCATTCATTCATTCATTCATTCATTCATTCATTCATTCATTCATTCATTCATTCATTCATTCATTCATTCATTCATTCATTCATTCATTCATTCATTCATTCATTCATTCATTCATTCATCATTCATTCATTCATTCATTCATTCATTCATTCATTC